GGGACTACATGTGTGCACCATCATGCCTGGCTAATGTTGGTATTTTAAGTAGAGATGGGGTCTCACCATGTTGGCCAGGCTGGTCTTAAACTCCTGACCTCAAGTGATTCACCTGCCTGGGCCTCTCAAAGTGCTGGGGTAACAGCCGTGAGCCACCATTCCCAACCCAACTTTTAAGTTTTTTTAAAGAAATGGGGTCACATTATGTTGCCCAAGCTAGTCTTAAACTCCTGGACTCAAACAGTCTTCCCATCTCGGCTTGCCAAGGTGTTGGGATTACAAGCATGAGCCACCATGCCCTAATTACATCATTCCATGGACTTTTAAAATTTTAAAAATTTATTTATTTTTTAATAGAGACAGGGTTTCTTCATGTTGGTCAGGCTGGTCTCGAACTCCCAACCTCAGATGATCTGCCTGCCTCGGCCTCCTAAAGTGCTGGGATTACAGGCGTGAGCCACCACACCCAGCCTCCATGAACTTTTAAGGCATTTTTTGTCTCAAAAAATATATGTTCTTAATTATCTAACCAGTATATCTCTTAATATTTATATTTACTGAAAATCTGTTTCCCTTTTTAAGTATTTTCAAGTTCTCAATAACTACATGAAATTAATAGCTTTCATAGTCACAAATTATTGCAACATTTTACTGTTATATTAAATATGCTTTTATACATTAGTTGACAGATTTTCAGCATATAAAGTACATAAAGCATTTTTGCTCCAGTTAAGACTAGCATGCTGACCTTTATTTGAAAGTAAATATTCAGGCCAGGTGAGGTAGCTCATCCCTGTAATCTGTCATTTTAGTACTTTGGGAGGCTGAGGCAGGAGGATTTCTTGAACCCAGGAGTTTGAGGCCATCCTGGGCAACATAGTGAGAATTCTATCTCTAGAAAATTGAAAACTAGCCAGGTATGGTAGCTTGTTTCTGTGGTCCCAGCTACTCTGGAGGCTGAAGTAAGAAGGTAAAAGGATCACTTAAGCCCAGGGTATCAAGGCTGCAGGGAAATTCAAAAATGCTACTGAAGGGTTGGGTGTGGTGGCTCATGCCTGTAATCCCAGTACTTTGGTAGGCTGAGGTGGGTGGATCACCTGAGGTCAGGAGTTCGAGACCAGCCTGGCCAACACGGTAAATTCTGTTTCTACTAAAAATACCAAAAATATTAGCTGGGTGTGATGGTGCATGCCTGTAATCCCAGCTACTTGGGAGGCTGAGGCAGAAGAATCGCTAGAATCCTGGAGGTAGAGGTTGCAGTGAGCCAAGATCGTACCATTGCACTCCAGCTTGGGCAACAAGAGTGAACAACATCTCAAAAAAAAAAAAAAAAAAAAGTACCACTGAAGTTGGTCTTCGATTCCCTTGCATTCCAGAAGCAAAATAGATTTTGAGCAAGTGCTGAGTTTGTTTAAACTTCTAATTCAGTCGGAATTTGTATTAGGGTACAGTATGAGGTACAAATGTAATATTTTTTCCAGGTAGGTGCCCAGTGGCCCCTAAACTAGAACTGCACCTGCCATCTTTTTAACAATGATCTGTGATGCCAGCTTTATTGTGAATTAAATTTTTGTCTATTTCTGGACCTTTGGTTCCTCTGTCTGTTTATAACCAGTAGCATATACTTGCTCATTGTTGAGGCTTTATAGTAGTATGTGCTGAGTCTGGTAGAGCTAGTTCTGTGATCTCTTCTTTTTGAGAGTTCTCCTGGTCATGCTTGTTTCCTTGTCACAGGATCTCTCACATCACTCCAGTTTATTCCCCCAATAAAAACCGATTAAGGTGGTATGAAATTTATCAGTTCAACTTATGGAGAATTAATTTCTACGTGATTTTGGGTCTTCCTCTTTATATACACAGGATGTCTGCATTTCTGCAAGCATTCTGTACCCTACATATTTGTTATTATGTGAATTCCTGAATATTTTATCTTTTTTGTTGTTTGACATGTCAACCTTAGGGTCACTTTAACTGTTTCCGGTATTGTACTCCAAAGTATTATCCCTTTGTTGTTGGTGGTAGTGTGGGTTTTTTTTGTTTGTTTGTTTTCATTTGTTTTTTGAGACAGGGTCTGGCACTACTATCAACATGTAAAGTACACAAAGCAATTTTTGCTCCAGTTACAAGTAGAATGCTCACCTTTATTTGAAAGTAAATATTCAGGCCAGGTGGGGAGTGCAGTGGCATAAGCACAGCTTACCTTGAATTCCTGGGCTCAAGCAATCCTCCTACCTCAGCCTCTGAGTAGCCGGAACTGTAAGCACAAGTCGTCATGCCCAGCTAGTTTTTTTACTTTTTGTAGAGACAGGGTCTAAACTATATTACCCAGACTGGTCTTCAACCCCCAGCCTCAAATGGTCCTCCTACCTTAGCCTCCCAAAGTGCTGGGATTATAGGCATGAACCACTGTGCCTGGCCCCTTTGTTTTTAATCAAGTACTGTGGTGACTTTATCCTGCCCACTACTTCTAAAGACCGTATGAGGATGGGTAGTAATATAACTCCATCTAAACATCGATATATTGAAAAGTGAATTGATGCATCCATTAATTAATTAGTGCAGTTATTAATTTTGCCATGGAAAGAACTGAGGATGAAGGAAGTCAAGTTGCCCAGAGACACCCAGTGAATTCTAGGTGGAGGAGGAGCTGGGTGTGAACTCCTGGGTTCCTCTCCAAACATGTGCTTCTGACCACTATGGGCTATAGTTAGCAGGATGTGAAAGGTCTGGGTACAGGCGCAGGGTCAGTAATAAAAATGCTGGCACTTAGAGATGTGTGCTTATGTGTAAAAACATCTGTTGTGTGCCTTCTGTATGAGTTCCTTTTGTTTTTTTGAGACAGTCTCCCTCTGTTGCCCAAGCTGGAGTATAGGCGTGATCTCAGCTCACTGCAACCTCTGCTTCCAGGTTCAAGTGATTCTCCTACCTCACCCTCCCAACTAGATGGGACTATATGCATGCATCATCACGCCTGGCTCATTTTTGTATTTTTAGTAGAGATGAGATTTTAGTATGTTGGCCAGGCTGATCTTGAACTCCTGACCGCAAGTGATCTGCCTGCCTCAGGTCCCATATTGCTGGAATTATAGGTGTGAGCCCCTGTGCCCGGCCTCTGTGACTTCTTTTTGCCACTCCTGCCCCACCATAACCTGGCATGAAGGTACTATTACTACCCTTGCTTTGCATGAGAGAAAACAGGTGCAGAGAAGGTGGTTTCTCGAGAGTTAAAATAGATTGCTTTGTTACAGCACTTCACAGTGCCTTTACCACAGGGTCTATGCTGTTCACAAGAAGGGGTCATAAGCAGGGCAGCTGGTCTAGTACTGGGCATTTTGAACTTCCACTGAGAGGTTAAAAATGATCTCTTCGGCCATGTGCGGTGGCTCATGCCTATTCCTAGTACTTTGGGAAGCCAAGGTGGGTGGATCATCTGAGGTCGGGAGTTGAAGACCAGCCAAGGTGGTTGGATCATCTGAGGTCGGGAGTTGAAGACCAGCCTGACCAACATGGAGAAACCCCATCTCTACTAAAAATACAACATTAGCCAGGTGTGGTGGCGCATGCCTGTAATCCCAGCTGCTCGGGAGGCCAAGGCTAGAGAATCACTTGAACCCAGGAGGCAGAGTTTGCAGTGAGCCGAGATCACGCCATTGTACTCCAGCCTGGGCAACAAGAGCGAAACTCAGTCTCAGAGAGAGAGAGAGAGAGAGAGGAGAGAGAGAGAGAGAGAGAGAGAGTGAGTGTGTGTGTGTGTTTGTGTGTGTGTACTCGTGTGGGCATCTTCTTAAATGCATGTTATGCTGGGCACATTGGCTCATGCCTGGGATCCCAGTAACTCAGGAGGCCAAGGCAGGAGGATCGCTTGAGCCCAAGAGTTTGAGGTTGCAGTGAGCTGTGATTGTGCCACTGCACTTCAGCCTGAGAGGCAGAGCAAAACCCTGTTTCTTAAAGAAAAGAAAAAAAAACATCACAATCATGTTACTGTGTTTTTTATTAGGTTTCTTTTTTTTTTTTTTTTTGATAGAGTCTCATTTTGTCACCCAGGCTATAGTGCAGTGGCAGGATTTTTTCCAGCTCACTACAACCTCCCCCTCTGGGGTTCAAGCAGTTCTTCCACCTCAGCCTTCCAAGTAGCTGGGATTATACTACAACCAGCTAATTTTTATATTTTTAGTGGAGACAGGGTTTTGCCATGTTGCTCACACTGGCCAGGCGGGTCTCAAACTCCTGACCTCTGGTAATCCACCTGCCATGGCCTCTCGAAGTGCAAGGATTAAAGGCATGAACCACCACACCTGGTTATTATTAGTTTTTCTTTTTTTTTTGGTTTCTTTTTTTTTTTGAGACGGAGTCTTACTCTGTCGCCAGGCTGGAGTTCAGTGGCATGATCTTGGCTCACTGCAACCTCCGCCTCCCAGGTTCAAGTGATTCTCCTGTCTCAGCTTCGAGAGTAGCTGGGATTACAGGTACGCACCATCACCCTCAGCTAATTTTTGTATTTTTAGTAGATGCAGGGTTTCACCATGTTGGCCAGGCTGGTCTCAAACTCCTGCCCTCAGGTGATCCACCCACCTCAGCCTCCCAAAGTTCTGGGATTACAGGCATGAGCCACCGCACGCCACCTATTAGGTTATTTTTAATACCAGTTGGCATTGTGAGTCTGCAATAGAAGATAGAGCATACTGCTCTTCTCAAACAACCAGATGGCACATGCAGTCCTGATAGGGCTTTGGCGTATTGTTGAGTGCTGTGTGGAGCAGCGTCTTCTTTAATCCTCACAACAGCCTGTGCGCCCCATGTACTACAATGAGTCCCATTCTGCAGGTGAAGAGCCCATGCCCCAGGAGGTTAAGGGACTCGCTCTGCTCTGTGGCATCTGGGAAGTTGGGTGCTAGGACTTGTGCCCAGGTATATCTGACCTTTCACACCTCCTGGATCCGCGGCACTGGGTGGATGCCGCAGTTTGTCCTCTTGGATAATTCTACTTTTCTCTTCTGCAGAGCCACAATCATGTCTCTCGAAGACTTTGAGCAGCGCTTAAATCAGGCCATCGAAAGAAACGCCTTCCTGGAAAGTGAACTTGATGAGAAAGAGAATCTCCTGGAGTCCGTTCAGAGACTGAAGGATGAAGCCAGAGGTCAGGAGGCCTTGGTGTCTTTCCCAGCATGGTACCCTCCCTCTACCTGAGCAACATCTTGTCCCACAGCCTCTCCCAGCATTACCTTTACAGGGACCCTGCACCCTGCTCTGCACCCAGGCTGTCTAGTCAGAGGGTGGGGGACTGCACCAGGCAGACTCTTGCCTTGGGCCCTGGCTGGAGCTGAAAACAGTCACACATCTGACCCTGTAAGGACCCCTTACAGGTATTTAGAGAAATAGCTTTGGGGTTCACAGATTAAGCCCTTTTATTGGGGTTCTGCCTCTGGGCAGCAGAATTCGTTTCCGGAAAGATGCTCCTGGTCTGTAATTCACACACACAGCAAACCAGCCTGATGCTCAGTAGGAACATAAGTTCTGTGGGGAGAGCCTGGCACAGTGACTCACACCTATAATCCCAGCACTTTGGGAGGCCGAGGATCTCTTGAGCCCAGGAGTTCAAGCCAGCCTGGGCAACATAGTGGTACTCCATCTCTAGAAAAAAAAGACAAATGAGCTGGGTGTGGAGGCATGTGCCTGTAGTCCCAGCTGCTCAGGAGGCCAAGGTGGGGTGATCCCTTGAGCCCAGGAGGTGGAGTCTGCAATGAGCTATGATCGCACCACTGTACTCCAGCCTGGGTGACAGAATGACGTTCTGTCTCTTAAAAAAAGGAAAAAAAAGCTTTTGTGGGGAGAAATTTCTGGTGGGTTTGCCAGCTAGTCTATTGTTTTTTTTGAGTTGATGGCAACTGATACATTTGGCTTAGAACTTTGAAACTTCGTCAGCATTTGCCCTTTAGTGGTTGGCACTTACAGAAGTAGAACATTCAAACTGTAATGAGACATTTGGCTGGGCATAGTGGTTCACACCTGTAATCCCAGTGGGAGGCCGAGGAAGGGGTATCACCTGAGCTCAGGAGTTCGAGACCAGCCTGGACAACATAGAGAAACCCCATCTCTACTGAAAATAGAAAACATTAGCCAGGCATGGTGGTTCGTGTCTGTAATCCCAGCTGGTCAGGAGGCTGAGGCATGAGAGTCACTTGAACCCGGCGGGTGGAGATTGCAGTGAGCCAAAATCACACCACTGCACTCCAGCTTAGGTGACATAGTAACTCTCTCCAAAAAAAAGGACATTATTAGTGGACTGTCCAAGTTTTTTTTTAAAGTTCCAATTAATTTTTTTTTGAGATGGAATCTTGCTCTGTTGCCCAGACTGGAGTGCAGTGGCGCTATCTCAGCTCATTGCAACCTTTGCCTCCCAGGTTCAAGTGATTCTTCTGCCTCAGACTCCCAAGTAGCTGGGACTGTAGGTGTGCACCACCATGCTTGGCCAAGTTTTGTGTTTTTAGTATAGAGACGGGGTTTCACCATGATGGCCAGGCTGGTCTTGAACTCCTGACCTCAGGTGATCTGCCCACCTTGGCCTCCCAAAGTGCTGATATTACAGGTGTGAGTCACCATTCCTGGCCCAATTGTTTATAACATTAATTTGCTTTCTAATGTGGAACCAGTAGGTGGGGAATTAAAAATAAAAATTTCTAAGTTTAAAAAAGCAGTTGTTCCGAGATGCCCATCAATAATGAAGTGGTTAAGTGAGTGCATAGATTTATTTTGTGAAATGTTCGTTAAAATGAACAAGGTGTAGATAGAAATGTTGTGGTAGAAAGATTGCCGAGGCTAGGCACAGTGGCTTATGTCTATAATCTCAGCGCTTTGAGAGAGTGAGGCAAGAGGATTGCTTGAGCCTAGGAGTTCAAGATTAGCCTGGACAACATAGCAAGACCCCATCTCTACAAAAATAAAAAGTAAAAAAATTAGTAGGCCCGGTGGCATATGCTTGTAGTCGTCCCAGCTACTCAGTAGGCTGAAGTGGGAGGATGACTTGAGCCCAGGAGTTGGTGATTACAGTCAGCTATGATTGTGCCAAAGCACCCTAGCCTGGGTGATTAAGTCAGACCCTGTCTCTAAAACAAATGAAAAAGATTGCCAAGACATACCACTGATGTGGGGAGTGCAAGTCATACACGGGACGTATGGTATGTTTCCATTAATGCTTAATAAAAATCCTTCCTATTTTATGCTCAGTAGATATACACATCTATAAAGTTTATGTTTGAAAATGCAGAGAACAGCTGGGCACAGTGGGTTACACCTGTAATCCCAGCACTTTGAGAGGCCGAGGTGGGTGGATCACCTGAGGTCAGGAGTTCGATTCGAGACCAGCCTAACCGACATAGTGAAATATGGTCTCTATTAAAAAAAAAAAAAAATTAGCGGGGCTTGGTGGTGTGTGCTGTAATTTTAGCTACTTGGGAGACTGAGGCAGGAGAATTGCTTGAATCCAGGAGTTGGAGGTTGCCATTAGCTGAGACTGTGCCATTGCATTCCAGCTTGGGCAGCAGGGTGAAACTCCGTCTCAAAAGGAGGAGCGTTTGGCAATACTCTAGAAAGCATACTTTACTTATTTTCGAAACAGAGTGTCACTCTGTCACTGAGGCTGGAGTGCAGTGGCATGAATTCAGCTCACTGCAACCTTGGTCCCCCAGGTTCAAGCATTTCTCCTGCCTCAGCCTCCTGAGCAGCTGGGACTACAGGCGCACGCCACCATACACAGCTTATTTTTTGTATTATTAATAGAGACAGAGTTTTGCCATGTTGACCCCGAACTCCTGACCTCAAGTGATCCTCCCACCTGGGTCTCCCAGAGTGCTGGGATTATAGGTGTGAGCCACTGCGCCCTACCTTTTTTTTTTTTTTTTTTTTTTTGCCAGGGTCTCACTCTGTCACCCAGGCTGGGGTGGCATGATCACGGCTCACTGCAGCCTCGAACTCCTGGATTGATATGATCCTCCCACCTCAGCCTCCCAAGGTGCTGGGATTACAGGTGTGAGCCACTGCGTCTGGGCATACTTTCATTTAGTATTCTAGATACACTGCTATGTTGGAATTGTTTTTTGAATAATAAAAGCCTTACTGTGTCACTGCCATAGCTTTTTAGAAATCTAAAACCAGTTTGTTTTTTACTTAAAAATCCTGCAGAGTTACAGGTCTGTGGGTTTCCCTTTATTTGGGGTTTTCAGCTGGAGTTTTTCATCCCAGTTGATCTATATCCTGACCAGTATCTACTGTTGAACCTCTCCTCCTGCACCCCGCCAACCCAAAGCCAAGAACTTCAATTCCCTTTCTGTTTTTGAGACAAAGTCTCACTCTCTTGCCCAGGCTGGAGTGCAGTGGCACAATCTCGGCTCAGTGCAACCGCCACCTCCCGGGTTCAAGTGACTCTCATGCCTCATTCTCTCGAATAGCTGGGATTACAGGCGCATGCCACCACGCGTGCCTAATTTTAGTATTTTTGGTAAAGATGGGGTTTCATCATGTTGGCCAGGTTGATGTCAAGCTTTTGACCTAAATGATCCCCCTGACTTGGCCTCCCAAAGTGCTGGCATTACAGGCATGAGCCACAGCGCCTGCTGAGGACTTGAATTCCTGAATCCTTTTCCTGGCACAGATTTGCGGCAGGAACTGGCCGTGCAGCAGAAGCAGGAGAAACCCAGGACCCCCATGCCCAGCTCAGTGGAAGCTGAGAGGACAGACACAGCTGTGCAGGCCACGGGCTCCTTGCCATCCACGCCTATCACCCATCGAGGACCCAGCTCGAGTTTAAACACACCCGGGAGCTTCAGATGTGGTAAGGGGAGTAGAAATTGGAGGATTTTCTTGGTTTCACGAAGTGTTCCTGGGTAAGAATCTGGGGTGGGTCGTGGGGGTGTGATGATTTGCAGCAGACTCAGAGCCTGATTTGCTCTCAGGCTTTGAGTAGACAGTAGACCAGGATGTTCCTTGGGATGGGCATTGGGATCAATGAGGAGTGTCTGGGTGGGAGGCAGTAGGGAGTGGTGGGGTCCGTGGTGAGGTGGGAGATGGAAATCCCACCCAGAGGGAGTAGCTGCCCCTCTGCAGCTACAAGGAATGGCCCTTCATCTGCAGCTTTTTCCATTCTTCATCAAAGCCAGAAATACTCTTTTTTGTTGTTGGGTTTTTGTTTTTGTTTTTTTTTGGAAACAGGATCTTGCTCTGTTGCCCAGGCTGGAGTGCAGTGACAGGATCTTGGCTCACTGCAACCTCATCCTCATGGGCTCAAGTGATTCTCCTACCTCATCCTCTGGGGTAGCTGGGACTAAAGGTGCTCCCAACACACCTGGCTAACTTTTGTATTTTTGGTGGAGATGGGGTCTTGCTATGTCACCCAGGCTGGTATTGTATTCCTGGACTCAAGTGATCCTCCTGCCTTGGCTGATCCCAAAGCTCTGGGATTACAGGCATAAGCCACCGCATCTGGCCCAAAATCCTCTTTTTGAATATGAAACCTCCCAAATTTGAAATGTCAGTAACCAAATATGAAAAAGTGAAAAGCATTCTGTGGGTCTGGTAATACATCCATTGAGAGCTAGACTCGGTGTAACCTGTGCTGTGTGGAGAAAAAACAAGAAATCTGAGTTCTCACTCCAGTGCCTCTAACAGCTTCCGATCAGGGCTTTTATAGCAGATATTAATAGCAGACACTTATTTGGTGCTCATTATGCGCCAGCCACCCTGCAACCTTCACCGCAGGCCTAGGATACAAGTGCTGTCCCCATTTGATGGAAGCAAGGCCCTGAGTTAAGCAGAGTCATGAAGCAAGTGAATGGCAGATGGATGGGGATTCAGACCCAGGCAGGCAGGCTCCAGGGCTTACCCTACCATCTACTGCCTTATCCCATAGCTCGTTCCTTGGTGGTGAAGAGATCAGTGAGACTTCTAGAATCCCAGTGCAGAGCCCTTTTGTTTTGTTGAGATATAGCTTCGCTCTGTGGCCCAGGCTGGAGTGCAATGGCGCGATCTTGGCTCACTGAAACCACCTCCTCCCAGGTTCAAGTTGATGCTCCTGCCTCAGCGTCCCAAGTAAGCTTGGTTTACAGGTGTTCACCAGGCAAAATTAGGCTGGCTAATTTTGTACTTTTAGTAGACATGGTGTCACCATGTTGGCCATGCTGGTCTCAAACTCCTGACTTGAGGTAATCCACCTGCCTCAGCCTCTAAAAGTACTGGGATTACAGGCATGAGCTGCTCCACCTGACCCCAGTCTAGAGCCAGTTTGCGTACTTTATTTCTGTTTTTTTAGAGAGACAGTTTTGTTCTGTGGCCTAGGCTGGAGCTCGCTCCAGCCTCCAACTCCTGGGTTCCAGTGATCCTCCCGTCTTAGCCTTCTGAGTAGCTGGGACTAGAGGCATGCAATTCCATGCCCAGCTATTTTTCCACACTTTAATATGCATGTAGCTCATCTGGGGACCTTGGTAGAATGTACCTCGGATCCAGGGGGTCTTGGGTAGGGCCTGAAATTCTGCTTTTTTTTTTTTTTGAGACAGAGTCTTGCTGTGTTGCCCAGGCTGGAGTGTGGTGGCATGACCTCAACTTACTGCAGCCTCTGCCTCCTGGATTCAGGATATTCTCATGCCTCAGCCTTCTGCACAGGTGGGATTACAGGCACCAGTTACCATGTCCAGCTAATTTTGTATTTTTAGTAGAGATGAGGTTTTGCCATGTTGGCCAGGCTGGTCTTGAACTCCTGACCTCAGGTGATCCACCCACCTCAGTCTCCCAAATTGCTGGGATTATGGGTGTGAGCCACCACACCCAGCCAAGAGATTGTACAGTTTTGACAGTTCTCAGGTGCCGCTGGTGCATGGACCCCACTTGGAGAAGAGAGGTTCTGTAGGACCCTTGTAAGGCTGGATTGCCCTGTCTGTAGTTCCTGTATCTATCACAGATGCCATTATGTTAATTAACTGTATGGATTGCCCACAATTTTAAAAGGATTTGTTTAAAAAGACTGATATGACTGGGCACGGTGGCTCCTGCCTGTGATCCTAGCTCTTTGGGCGGCCGAGGTGGGAGGATCGCATGAGACCAGAGTTCATGATGATCAGCTTGGCAGCATAGTGAGATCCCGTCTCTATTAAAAATTCTTTTAAAAGGCCAGGCATGGTGGCTCATGCCGGTAATCCCAGCACTTTGGGAGGCTGAGGCCGGCGGATCACTTGAGGTCAGCAGTTCGAGACCAGCCTGGACTACATGGTGAAACTCTGTCCCTACTAAAAATACAAAAGTTAGCCGGGTGTGGTGGCCCATGGCTGTAATTCCAGCTACTCTGGAGGCGAAGTCAGGAGAATTGCTTGAACCCGGAAGGCGGAGGTTGCAGTGAGCGGAGACTGTGTCACTGCACTCCATCCTGGGTGACAGAGCAAGACTGTGTCTCAAAAAAAAAAAAAAAGACTAACATGTAAAAACAAACATTTGATGTAGTCATCATCACAAGGACTTGAAAAACTGGTCGTCAAATAGGCCTTACGTGTGTGATGCAGTTAACCACTGAAAGAAGTAGGGTAGCTTCTAGGATCCAAGGGAAGCTATCCGTGTCCCTCCCGTCCACGTGGTTTTGGATCTCTAGTGGTTTGGATCATAGATATGCCTGTAGCTTGATGTGTTATGTGCACATTCTTTTGCACACCCAGGCCTGGACGACTCCACAGGGGGGACGCCCCTCACGCCTGCGGCCCGGATCTCAGCCCTCAACATTGTGGGAGATCTACTGCGGAAAGTTGGGGTAAGACCACACTTTCCTGGCCTTTGGTGCCTTCCTGCCTGTCCTTCAGGATATATGAAGGGGTGGATCTTACTCTAGTTCCTTCCCTCTTCTCTCTTTTTCTTTTTCTAAGAAACAGGAGTCTTGTTCTCTTGCCCAGGCTGCAGTGTAGTGGTATGATCACAACTCACTGTTGCCTTGACCTCCTGGGCTCAAGCGATCCTTCCACCTTAGCCTCCTGAGGAGCTTGGACCACAGGTATACACCACCATGGCTGGCTGATACTTTCATTTTTTTGTAGTAATGGGGTATCGCACTGTTGCTCAGGCTGGTCTTAAACTCCTGGTGTCATGTGATCCACCACGCTGGCCTCCCAAAGTTCGGGATTATAGGTGTGAGCCAGTGCAGCTGATGCCTTTCATAGCAGTGTGGTAAGTTTTAGGTGTGACCGCTCCTCTAGTTTCCCTGGGAGTCATGAGGGCTTCCTGTGGGAGTTACTGCCAGACACTCAGAGCTCTGACTCTAAGCTTTGCCTCGGAATATGTATATCTCTTTCCTTGTACCATTTTTCCTCTAGGCAATTTGGGAAATAGGGTGATGTCCTGTTTTTCCTAAATTTGAAAAAACTGAGGAGCATTTAGAAACTGTCTTCTGGCCGAGTACAGTGGCTCATGCCTATAATCCCAGTACTTTGGGACGCCAAGGTGGGAGGATCCCTTGAGCCCAGGAGTTTGACACTAGCCTGGGCAACATGGTGAAACCGCCTGCCCTGACTTGCCTCTACAAAAATGCAGAAATTAGCCAGGCGTGGTAGTGCACACTTGTAGTCTCAGCTACTCAGGAGGCTGAGAGGTGGGAGGATTGCTTGAGCCTGGGAGGTCGAGGCTGCAGTGAGCCGAGATGGTACCACTGCACTCTAACCTGGGTGACAGAGCACGACATTGTCTGAGAAAAGAAAAAACTGCCTTTTGTTTTTTTGTTTGTTTGTTTCTCAGGAGGTTCAAGAGAATCTTGACACTTTGCAATGCCAAGGCGGGTGGATCACCTGAGGTCAGGAGTTCGAGATAAGCCTGGCCAACATGGTGAAACCCCATCTCTACTACTACTCGGGAGGTTGAGGCAGGAGATTGGCTTGAACCCGGGAGGTGGAGGTTGCAGTGAGCCGAGATTGTGCTACTGCCCTCCAGCCTGGGCAGCAAAGTGAGACTTGGTCTCAAAAAAAAAAATCTTGAAAGCCTAAGGCAAAGAACTTGGCCTTTCAGCTTTTATGTTAATTACAGGGAGAGATCCTTTTGTGTTTAAGCAATAACATAGGTATTCTTTGTAGCTGTTTTTTTTTTTTTTTTTTTTTTTTTTTGAGACGGAGTCTCGCTCTTGTTACCCAGGCTGGAGTGCAATGGCGCGATCTCGGCTTACCGCAACCTCCGCCTCCTGGGTTCAGGCAATTCTCCTGCCTCAGCCTCCTGAGTAGCTGGGATTACAGGCATGCGCCACCATGCCCAGCTAATATTTTGTAGTTTTAGTAGAGACGGGGTTTCACCATGTTGACCAGGATGGTCTTAATCTCTTGACCTCGTGATCCACCTGCCTCGGCCTCCCAAAGTGCTGGGATTACAGGCTTGAGCCACCGCGCCCGGCCCGTAGCTGTTTATTTTTAAAAATGATGCCCAGAAGGCCACATAATTTAACTTCTTCGAGGTTGTCACTGTGTGCAGTGTATTCATGCAACTTGATAGAAGCTTGCATCTCATTTATTTCATGTTTCTACTCTGGCTGTTGGTTGTCTGGCTTTTCTGTAAACAGGTCCGTGTTTTAATAGTTAGCCCGGCTGGAGCACAGAGAGGCCTGGGGGTGCTGTCAGCCTCCTTTTAGTTTCCTCGGGATCTGTTGGAGCCAGACTAAGTCCTTGTCAAACCTCCTGCCATTCTGCAGAGGTTTAATAAGGTAAACCAGAGTGAAGGATTCCAGAAGTGGATTTCATATTTCCTACAGGCAGAGTTGGATAATTGGTAGCTTAATGATTTTTCCAGAAAGCTCTCATTTGTTTAAAAATATTTGTAATTAAAAACTTTTTTTTGTTTTTCTTTTTTTTTTTGAGAGACAGAGTCTCACTCTGTCATCAGGCGCCAGGCTGGAGTGCAGTGGCACAATCTCAGCTCACTGCAACATCCGCCTTCCGGGTTCAAGCAATTCTCCTGCCTCAGCCTCCCAAGTAGCTGGGATTACAGGCACACGCCACCACGCCCAGCTAATTTTTGTATTTTTAGTAGAGACGGGGTTTCACCATGTTGGCCAGGATGGTATCAAACTGCTGACCTCAGGTGACCTATCCACCTAGGCTTCTCAAAGTGCTGGGATTACAGGCTTGAGCCACCGTGCCCAGCCAAATCTTTTTTTTCATTATTATTTATTTTGGCCAGGCGTGATTGTGCATGCCTATAGTCCCAGCTACCCAGGAGGCTGAGGTGGGAGGATTGCTTGAGCACGGGAGGTTGAGGCTGGAGTGAGCCGTGATCTCTTTGCAGGAAGCTTCTAAACATTTGTAAAAATGCTTTGTAATTTAAACAATTTTTTTCATTAAAAATGTTTTTTTATTAGATGGGCATGATTGCAGATGCGTATAATCCCAGCTACTCAGAAGGCTGAGGTGGGAGCATTGCTTGAGCCTGGGAGGTTGAGGCCGCAGTGAGCTGTGATCTCACCAGTGCACTCCAGCCTGGGTGACACAGCAAGATCCTATCTAAAAAAGTAAAAAAAGTAAATAGGATGGGATCCTACTTTGTTGCCCAGGCTGGTCTCAAACTCCTGATGTTAAGCCTCCTGCCTTGGCCTCCCAAAGTGCTGGGATTACAGGTGTGAGCCATTGTGCCTAGCCAGCTCCCAAATACCTAAGGTGCTTGGTTCTGAGACTGGCATATACATTGGGTTCCTCTTGGGGTCCCACCTTGGAATTCCAGCGCACAACAGTTTGAGAACCACTGTCTGGGGTTCTTTCCTCTGTACGGGCTCTGGTGAGACAGAATAGTCCTTGCCTATAACTTGAGAGATAAAAAGTGTATTTTTCTCCAGGCACTGGAGTCCAAACTCGCTTCCTGCCGGAACCTTGTGTACGATCAGTCTCCAAACCGAACAGGTGGCCCAGCCTCTGGACGGAGCAGCAAGAACAGAGATGGCAGCGACAGACGGCCCGGCAGCACCAGCGTGCCTTTGGGTGATAAAGGGTCAGTACCTTTTAATAAGCCTCTTGCTGCTGGGGAGAACGGACCTGCCCCAGGCTAGAGACAGTAGCCCCCAACTCACAGCCATCAGTTTTTTTTTTTAATTACGGGATGATTTCAGCAAACGTTATCCTCTCCTGTGCTCCCTGTAGGCAGCATTAGGTAGTGTCTTCTGGCTTGGTCAAAGGGCTAAGGAGAGGGTCTTGTTTTGTGTGATAGGGTCTCACTCTGTCTCCCATGCTGAAATACAGTGGCAGGATCATTGCTCACCCTCTGCCTCCTGGCTCACATGATCCTCCCACCTTAGTCCCCTGAGTAGCTGGGACTATAGGTGCATTGCCACCATGCCTGGCTCATTTTTTGTAGTTTTTCTTTTTTTTTTTTTTGTTGAGACCGAGTCTCGCTTTGTCACCAGGCTGGAGTGCAGTGGCATGGTCTTGGCGCACTGCAACCTCTGACTCCCTGGTTCAAGAGATTCTCCTGCCTCAGACTCCCAATTACAGGCATGAGCCACTGTGCCCAGCTAATTTTTTTTTTTTTTTT